ATCTGAGGGCCAGTTGCTGTAGTGGGTGGCGCCATCTCTTAACATCCCAAGAGCAAACTTCTGTTCCTTGAAGAAGACACCACATAGGGAGAATTCCTTGACAGGATAGTCACTTTATAGGACAGAAACTGGGTATGTCTTCTGATCAGGATGTCCCTCATTTATACATGCCTGGTAGTTTAACATTGGTAGTTTAGACATTGAATAGACAACCTGATAGAAAAGTAGACACGAAAGTCCAACTGAGATTCTGTACCCTGGATAGTCATTTGATTATAATTTGCTTTTCAATCATTTAACACAGATTCTTAGTAGTATTCATGCTGGACAGCCCTCTTAGGAAGCACACATTTGAAAGACAGAGAGGTACATTATAAAGAGGCTTGGCTGCTGTAAGAGCTCAGCTACTTATTTTCTAAGACCAGCATCTGTCAAAAAAAAAAAAAAGTCTCAGCAGAAGCTAAGGAGAACTGTAAAGAATCCTGACATCTTGACATCAATACAGTGCTGAAGGGGATGGATGCAGGAGAAACTACAGCTCTATAGAGAATTTTATCTCTGATTCTCATGCAGCATCATGATATTGAGCCGGCAAGACGTTTTCAGCATGACATGAAAATGTGAGTTTTCCAATAATGAGCGCATGGCAGAGTGCCTGGGACCAAAAGTGAAGTGGGCCAGGGAGGGCCGGACAGGCTCCTCAGAGAAAGAGTTGGCCTGCACACTTAACACTGACTGTGAGTGTCAACTCTGCAAATTCATTTTCAAAATAAGTTACACATGACCCTGCCGTGTTTGAAGTTACTGTGGGAAGGTACCACTCCTGCTGTTGCCTTATAAATAACTTCAGGAAAATAATGACCACAGAGTGGAATTTAGGGAGAATGCCTTGGCCCTATCCAGTTTTCACATGATTAAGTCAAAGGGAACATGCATAAATTTCTCTATGAAGCTTATTCATGTGTAGTGGCATTTCAAAGCAGTTCTAATTTGATGATGGTGACAATGACAGCTTTTCAAAAGGGATCATACTGTATCCCTGACAGCTTGGGCTTTCCCACATATCCTATGAAGCAGCAATTCAGAAAGAATGGCATGCAGGTAAAATCAGTAATATCAGGGCTACAGCTGAGCCCTGCTGCTTAGGTTTAGTTAGGTTCTGTGACCTCCAGCCTTGCTAGCCCTCAACCTCTCAGCCCAAGGACCACTTCAGTTCACCAGCAATAGCAAAATGATACTGTTTAAGGGTGAGACCTAGTGATTACACAGCCTGGCAAGCACTCTTCTAAGCACACAGCATCAGCAAACCCTTTGAAGTCTGAAGTTGTTTGAAATTCACAAGAGCTGCCTAGAACAGATAGCAACTTCTACCCCCAATTAAAGTCACACAAGTAGAGGCAAAAGCAGGTTCCAACAGATGGTCTGGCACATTCTTAATCACCATGCCATCTTCACTTTAAAAATACCACAAAAGTGTGAGTTTCTGCCTCACTGATGAGAATACCTTGTGTTTGCAGACTGCTTAAACTTCCAGTAACACTGAAAGTGTTACCTTATAGAGCCTTGTTTTAGTTCTGCGTATTTTGTAAAATCATGTTGCTGGTAGAAAACAAGTAAGTACACATGGAGAGCATGGTGTCGCCTCCACTCTGTGCTTTGGAGCCTAGGATTGTCTATGCACATTGAGAGCATCCACTGAGGTCACACGAATGTGCTGACATGTCAAGCTTCATCTCAGAGAAGCAAGGTTACTGGAAATGGGCAGGTCATTGGCTCTCAGAATCTCGCACGTTCTCAAAACTGAGTAGACACTCAGTTCGGAAAGTGTTGGTCTCTTCCACTTAAACTAAAAAGTTAAAAAAGTTAAACTATCCCAAGAGAGTTATGAAAGTAGTCTTCAGTTGCTTTGTAAAAAGGCTTGGAAAAGGGATTCCTTGACAAAACGTTCTTTGCTCTTTTTCTTGGAAGTGGGGGCGGGGAGTGAAGGCAGGGTCTCACTGGCCTCAAACAAACTGTATAGCTGAGAAAGACCTTCACCTCCGGATATTCCTGCTGCCACTTTCAAAGTACTGGAGTGACAAGTGTGTGCCACCAGGCCCGGTTTTGTGTGGCGGTGAGCATCAAACCTAGGCTTCACTAGGTTTGAAGGAAGGAAGCAAGGACTCTAACACTGAACCATATGACAGCCCTAAAAAAAATTCATCCATTAAAAAATTGAACTCATAAAAGAAAGAAGGCTGTCTAATGACCACTTCTAAGTCAAACCTTGTGTGAGACAACACACTCACTTTACTCTATTTTCTTTTGGGTCTTGGCTTTATTCTCTAACACACATTTCCAGCATTTTTAGTTTCAGCAAAGAGCAGAGTAACCATTAAGCTCCACTAAGGGAGAAAGAAAACCTACATGTAGTAGAGGGTTGGTATAATTGGGCATATTTTTCTTTTTTCTTTTAAAAAGGATTTGTTATTTTAGGTCTATGAATGCCCTATCTGCATATATACCTACATGCCAGAAGAGGGCATCAGATCCCATTACAGATAGTTGTGAACCACTATGTGGTTGCTGGAAATTGAACTCAGGACCTCTGGAAGCAGTAAACTCAGGACCTCTGGAAGAACAACCAGTGCTCTTAACAACTGTCCCATCTCTCTAACCTCAGGCATATTTTTCTTTTACTTGTATTTAATTTCTGATGAAGCCAGAAACAAGGCACCCTGTCCCATCCCAGTGGTTTAAAGAGAAGTAGTCAAAATGTGGCTCTAGCAGCTGAAAGTTCCCCCACCTTCCTCCTGGAACCTTGTGTATGGTGACTTAGGGATATGGACTCAGCACAGAATAGACAGCACAGCACAGCAAGAGTGACGTGGGAATGCTGCACTGAGTGGGAGAATTCATTTTCTTTGCAGGAGGAGAAGTACCACGTGGACTATTAGACAAGGACAGATTTCCTTAAAACTAGTGTGATCCAGATGTCACTGATGGCTTGGCATTCAGGTTGTAGCGGGTTTCTGAAGCAGCTCAGGCTTAGGGAAGATGTTCATTCACCTCTACTTACAAGGACCCTGGGAGCTGGTCCTGCTGTTTAAGGGAGTAGTTGGAAAACTTCGCTGTATGCTGGCTGCAGTAGATCTCTAAAGATGCTGAGTGGAATAGCTGCCTCCTGGTCGGTGGTTTTACCAGATAGAATTCTGCTCTCCCTCACAGTGAAGCCTAGGGCCTTAAGCTCTTAGAACAGCACACTTACCACCTACCTCTTAGTCTGTTGATGAGATGGGCAAGCCATTGCAAATGCACTTGCACAGACTTGCAGGCACTAAGAATTGGAAGGTAGATGTGAGATGCCTTCTTTCTGCTTGGTGTATAGCAGTAGTTTGGGCTTTCCTGAGACAGGTAAGAAGTGCGGCCACGCTAGCTGTGAATGGCATCCTTTGTGTTCACATTTCATCTCTGAGAATCTGAGCTTAGGATGGAGTTTGGTCATGGAAGAAGCAGATTTGCCACTATAGGAAACTCAGGTTTGCCATCCTGAATCCAGACACTTGATTGACTGGTCCAAATCTTGACAGAGCCAGCTTTGTAACCTTAGACTAACCATAGAGTCTCTTTGAATCCCAGGTCACTCAGTAGATAAAAGAGGATTTTAACAGTTTGGTTGCTGAGGTGGGTCAGAACTAGGTCTTAATGTTTCCTAATTTGGCAAACTCCATGAGATACGAAAGTATCACAACAGATATTCTTTGATGTTCTGAGGGGAAAAAATCAGCAGTGTGGATCACAGTTCTTAATGTAGAATTTCATTGATGATCTTTTATTATAATCAATTCTAAAAGGAATAAATGCTACATTTTTACCATGTGATATTGTAGCCACTAGCCACCTGTGGCCATTTAAATATAAACTCCTGACTACAATCTTCTCTCTTAAGCAGTGCAGATACAGAACAAGGCCACCATCCTCAGTGAAGGACCAGCCTGGACCTTTGCCCAGACCTCTAACTGCAGCTTCTTGCTCCTTGCAGCAGGATATAGGTGCTTATGCTGTAGGGCACATCACTGGACAATGGAAGGATGAGACGCTATAGCATTTGAGCAGAGCAGTGCAGAGAATTTTCCAGACAAAGGATGTTAGCACCGATAGAAAGAGAGAGCGAGAAAGAGCGAGAGCGAGAGCGAGAGCGAGAGAGAGAGAGAGAGAGAGAGAGAGAGAGAGAGAGAGAGAGGTGAGCCGCTGTGGGGGAGGGGTGGTTAGAGGAAGGAATTAGAAAGCCCTGGGTCACCCTGTGCCTCACATCCTGATCTGGACTTCTGTGAGATACAGGACCCTAGAGATGACTTTCTTTCTTTTTTCTTTTCTTTTCTTTTCTTTTTTTTTTTTTTTTTAGGTTTTTTCGAGACAGGGTTTCTCTGTGTAGCCCTGGCTGTCCTAGAACTCACTCTGTAGACCAGGCTGGCCTCGAACTCAGAAATCCGCCTGCCTCTGCCTCCCAAGTGCTGGGATTAAAGGTGTGCACCACCACTGCCTGGCTAGAGATGACTTTCTCAGAGATACCATCACCCTATGCAGACCACACACACACACACACACACACACACACACACACACACCATCCCAACAGTGGAGGAGTGTGAGAGGAGAGGAGTTGCCCTCAGCAGTCAGTCAGTGGTGGGAGAAAGGTTAACAATGTCTGGCCATGTTAAGAGAACATTACTCTGTAATGAAGAAGAATTAATTAAAATAGGGGAGAGGAACAGCTACTCTAAAGGTTTCCAAAGTGTTGCTGGATAGTCAAAGTGAGTTTGTTTTGAGGTTTGACCTTAGTATTAGAAAGAAAATAACGTTGACATAAGAAACGGCTTGGTTTTGTCTTCCCTTCCACTGAAGGGCAAGAGTAGGAAGGACAGAAGCAATCAGAGGTAGATGGCAAAGCATGTAATTGTGCCTGCCGTCTGGGAGCCATCTGGGAAGGAGTCACCTTTCTCTTGATGACTTTCTTCCAGGTGCTACTGCAGGCGATGAGACTGAAGATACGAGCACGGAGTTCACAGACAGCATTGAGGAGGAGGCTGCACACAACAGCCACCAGCAAGTAAGTCGGTGTCAGCTGTGAGGGTTTCCAGGGTGGAAGGCACAGTCTCGGATCTGATTCTCACCTTCAGCCTCTGTGCGCTGGGAGCGAGAGAACGTCTTTTATGTAACCCACTCCCCACTCTGCTCCCTGTTCTCCTTCACTCTTTCTCTGTTCAGTCTATTTGTTTTTACTACCCCTATTTCTTATTTCTGCTTCTTATCCCTTCCTACCCACCTCTGTCCCGATTTACTGTCTGTAGCTTTAGCTGCAGAAGAAGTTTTACTTACAAGACAATGGATGCTTCCCCTCTTTGGCTTTTATGAGCAAAAGACGAAACAGAACACAGGGAGGCATTGAAGAGCTGTCTGGGGAACAGCAAGGCCTCGAGCCTGTCTAACAAGAGTACTGGCTAAGAAACTCCCAGAGGATTGGAATGCCTCCATGGCAGGGATCTTTCTCAGTGAAATAGAAGAGAGCCTTGCTCTGTGTTCTTACAGGCTACACAATAGCCAGCCCTGCCAAGCCTCAGAATTTGGCACTGGCCCACCATCAGAGAAAGTGGAAGGCCTCAAGGCCAAGACTAAATGTCCCAGACCTCAGAGCTTAAGTCACCTTTAGTGATGATTGGAACTGAGTGTCTCTCCCTTGCCTGGTGACAATTAACAGTCACATCTAAATGCCTGTGGCTCCTAAGTTGTTGCAATGATAGATGACCATTGCTAGAAAGAAGCTGGACTTTCCTAGTGCCATCTTCTTTGGGGCTACTAGAAACACTTATAGGGGAAATGAGGCTTGTGAGTTTGCCTGCACATTTTCTGTGTGAGACAAAAGGAGACATCCATTAAACTGACAAGAAGAGGCCAAGTGTGTGCAGACCCTAACTGAATAGTATCTGGGACTGTTTGAGTCTCCTGAGGACCCAAGTTTGTCTGGGACACCGACATCATCACAAGTTTCTTTATTTTCTATCAAGATCTCTTTTTTATTGCTGTAGCCATGACAACCCTACTCTTCCCTCGAACATTTTGCATTAACTGTTCTTCTCAGTTTGCTTCTTCTGAGTCCTCCTCACAGACTAATGGGCTGCAGTTTTAATTACATATACCACTGCCTGGGTGCACAGATGTCTCTGCCCCTCACTCCCTGATTTCATCAAGGACCTCTGGGTGAGAGAATATACAAGATGGACAGAAGTCTACTCTAAAACTGATTGAGATGTTGGCCGGACACAATGGTTATAATGGCTGTGGGGCAGGAATAGGGACAGATTAAATAAACAGAAGACACTGATGTTATGACCATCAGATTCAGACTGCTGTGCTCAAACTATTCCTGCTGCTACAAGTCTTTCAGACATACTGCTTTGTAAAGCCATTTCTTCCCCAGTCTTCTTTCCTGTAGCCTCACACCATGATGACCGGGCTCTACTTTGAGAAGGTCAGTACCTTCTACACCCACCCTGGAGTAGACGTTTACTCTGACACATCACAGTGTTTGTCTTAGTACTTGGCACAGGAAGTGCTCAGTGTAATTGTAAATTAGCAAGCCTTCAGATCAGGGCTTTATTCTTAACAGACAAGTATGCCCTCTGGATGAGGAATCTTTGTGGTAAGCACCATTTTTTCCTATCACCTTTTCTTGAAAACTGATTTCCAGCTTTGGGTAGGAAGAGCCTTGGTGTATGACATTATATATGAAGCTCCTTGTGAGCTCAGTTCATCTTCTGTGGGGTTTGAGTTGTGACTCTCCTGTTACCAACTAAATAAAGCTTGCTTTGCCATAACTACCGTGTGTCCAGATTCTAAAGATTTGTTTGCTTGTTTCCAGGGAAACAGTCCTTTTAAGATTCGTATCTGAACTCTTTCTTATTGTATCCTTAGGAGATAAACTTTATTGTTGGTTTCACACTCCTCTTAACTTAGCTCTACACACTTTCCCTAACAAACACAGCTGGCTTTGTGTTCCTGGGCAAGAATCAAAGAAAGCCAAGTTTGTTTTCTCATTTCTAGGAAGTCAATCACCTCAGAAAGCCTGGCCACGATAATCATCTTCCCAAGATGTATTGCTCACAAAATTACAGTCTCAAAAAGATGTAAAGTCTGTAATAAGTGCTTAGGGGATGCCACAAAGGACACTGGAGAGCAGTCAGCTGCTGATGTTCATCTGGACATTTGCAATGCAGAAAAAAGCTTATCAGTAGTCAAGTCCACGTGCAAAGAGGACAGGAAACTAAACCTGACCTTTTCTTTCAGAAAAGCTATTTTAAAGTAGTAATATTTTATAATCAAATCATAATGAAATACATTGTACATGGAGTACAATGTAATGATTTGATATACACATATATAGTGAAATAATTAAGCCAAGTTAATCAATACAGCCATACCTCATCTAATTTTAGTTTTTTATGATGAGATATTTGAAATTTACTTAGTTATCTTTATACTTGATGCTAACTATGGTTACTGTGTTGAACAATTGATGTCAAAGCCCATTCCTTCTGTCTGGATGAAGCCTTGTGACTTTTCCTGTCCCCACCATATCCTCCTCCCCACATGCTGTAGAGGATTATAATTTAAAATTGGACCCAGAGGAGTTACACTAGCATCACACACATTGAGTTTTATTTGAGGAAAATAAAACTCTGGCCACCACCGACCGTTCTTTGTACTTCAATTGGCTCAGCGGTGCCACGTGTAAGTCATGTAAGAAAGATGAGGTGGTATTGTATTCTGTGAGCAGCTTTGTTTCACATAGCCTAATGTTGTGGGTTGCCCTGGTGCTGTTTGTATTCTGATGTTAATCTGCATCCTCAAGAGGGGCTTCCCCCACTAGGAGTGGATCACAGTACTCAGGTGATCTCATGTGACCCTTATCCCCTTTCTAAGTGGTCAAATAAAGGCTAGAGCTTGTGATTGGGCAGTGGAAGGGAAAGGTGGGACTAGAGGTCTTAGAGAAGAGGGAGGAGGAGAGAGGACGGAGGAAGAGGAGGTAGAAGCCAATATGGAGCAGAAGCATGGCCTGGAGAAGCTGCACATAACAAGGGGTCTCATAGCTTGGGAATACGTTAGTATAATGATAGATCTGCCCAATCTAGACATATAGCTTATGAATATAATAACTGGGCTGTGTGGTTTTTTATTTGAGGTTAGAAATTACAGCAAGGTTGTGTGTGTTTTTTATATAGACTTATTGGGGTAAGAAATTACCACAACAGCCTAATGTTCTCCAGATTTAAGCAAATAACAGGATATCCCCCTCTTTAAGACTTACTAATTTTTCTTTGCTCATGCATCTATAGACACCCAGGTTGGCTCCATGTTGTAGCATCTGTGAATAGTGTTGTAGAGAGCATGCCCATATCAATTCACAAGCTGACTTCAGCTCCTTTGGAAGTATATCCACAAGTAGAGATCCTGGACCTCAGAGTAGTTCCGTCTAGTTTTTATTGTCCTAATAATGAATGTGTGCTCTTTTTTACTCTTTCCTCCATATTCTTGTGTGTGTGTGTGTGTGTGTGTGTGTGTGTTTCTGAGGAAAGAACCCAGAACCTCCTTCATATCATCTTTCTTAAAATATATACACATCAACATTCTGGTACATATGAGGTGATCACTCCTTATCGTAGTACTTTTCCAAATGGTAACCAACATTGATTTGAAAAATGATTGTTTCCTAATATCTTTAATATTGTCTGAGGATTGACCTTCTCTGTGAGAAATATGAAGTGAGAAGGTGAAAGCCAAGCAGCTCCATTCAAGCAAAAGCGCAGGTCTGAAGTAGGTCTATGAAACATTCAAAAATGTTAAGTTCCAGAGAAGCGATGGCACAAGGGGGTTAGGTGATATGAAAAACCACTAAGAGGATTATGATTTAAAATTGGATTTAAAAGAGGAATCACACTAGTATCACACACACTGAGTTTTATTTGAGGAAAAGAAGGGTAATACTTGCTTTTCATAGATGGTAAATGCTAATAAGGAGTCTAGATCCCAATTCACTTTTCGTATATTTATATTTAAATTATAAAGTAAGTAAAACAAACAAACAAAAATTTTTCTTTCCAAGCTTTGAAAACCCAAGTTAGGCCAGACAGATCTCTACCTGATGTTCTCAGCCGGTGCCTATATGCCCTAGGGTAGCCGTGAGTGCAGCCCTGAAAATTTGTAGATGATAATATGTCATATTGCCATATCATAGTATTGGACACCTCTGGGTCTATAAATCATTTGCAATCATTTATTTCCTTATTTTAAAATGAGAAATCAGACAAGATGAGCTTTAAGGGCCATCTGGCATCTATATTTCATTGTTTTCCTTTGAAAGAAAACAGGTATGCTGAAATCAATAAAATACACACACACACACACAAAGGTATTTTGTTAATGAATAGGCCTCATTAAGGCTGGGCTCTATTTTTAAGCATAAGGTTAAGAAAAGAGTGATTATTTTGTCCCTATTCAAGTCTAGTGATGATTTTCGTTATGTTCATTGCAAATAGTTTATATAGAGAGATAAGATTACAAAGTTTACTTATTTATTTTTGCCTACCTATTCATTATTTTGGGGGCCTTTGAAATGGCCTCACTATTTAGCCCAGGCTAGCTTTGCTTCCAGTCCTCCTGCTTCAGCTTCTCAAGTGCTGTAATTATAGACATGGGCTACCACTCCCAGCACAGCACACGGTTATGGCGTGAAGGTCATGGTAATAAGCCTTCAAAAGTGTCCTGTCCAATACCTAATCCATTTTTCTTTACAAGCCCTGGGTGGTACTTGTAGAGATGGCAGCAGCTGACTACACTTGGCAGCAGTCTTAGAGACAGATATTGTCTGTAGTCTAGTCACAACTGGACTCAGAAAGCCCAGATGGGATTGAATGCCTGGAGCTGGGTCTATGACTTTCTTCTACATGGTGGCATATCACTTGACAATTTCAATTGCAGTGGTACTAGATAGCATTACATGTATGCTATATATGATTGCTACCAAAAACCTGCAGCATAAGTATAACCTAGCTTTATTAAGAGGACTAGTGAAGATCAACAGTTCTGGGACCACCAAGCTGCTTTATCAATCACTAACCCATACACCTTGCTCTGGGCCCTATTCTGTTTAATATGTTAGTGACCTATATGAATGCATAAAATATAATTAATTATATGAATCATCTTTACTCAGGTGAGCACTACATGGTTTACAGAGAGGCACATTAACTATTTTAATGGTTTTGTAAGTGGGATACAACTCTGTGTAACCAGAATAAATTTATAAGTGACAAACATGATTCACAATATTAAAAGAAAACAGAAATTATTGTGGGGATGATAGGGAGTAAGAGTCAAAACTGGTCTGAAATTGAGTATAACTTCTAAGTGGTGTCACTAAGAGGAAAGAGAAGCCAGAGAGACTGGGAAGTATGGGAAGTACTGTTGAGATTTGTGCTGTGGCACTTGCTTGTAAACTTAGCACTTGGGAGGATGAACCAAGAGAATCAAAAGTTCAAGGACAGCCTCGGGTACTAGTGAGATTGAGGACAATATGAGCTATAAGACAAAAAAATAAGGAGGGAGGGAGGAGGAAATCCTTACTTTAAAGTACTCATACACTGCATAGTTTACCACACCCAGCTGAGTTGTATTAATGCCCTTTTAAACATGTAGGAATAATAGAGATAAGTCCCATGTGTATGATAAGAAAGTCTAAACACTCACAACTTCCCACTTGGGGAAAAGCACCCTAAGGTCAGTTTTAAATGAAACATTTCAGAATGTCATCAAGAGAATCCTCAAAAAGAAAGGCACTATGACATTTTCTACTTTTTTTTTCTTCTGTCATACTTAGATTTATAGAAAGAATTTAGCTGGTTGCATTGGCACAAGGGTGATAATGGAAAAGGAAAACTGGGTACCCAGTAGGGTGGCTTCCCTCAACCCCTCAGTGTGATTCTCCTGCTATTGGTAGAGCTGGCCTTGCTTTGTCCTGCCTGTAGCCACATGATCTTAATTCTGGAACTGGCTGCTGACTGCCTCCTTAGAGCCCTGAGTCTTTATCTCTTCTTTAGAGTCTGAGCTGCAGTCAGAGACTTAGCCATTGAGCCCTGGCATCTTGGACTATGATCTTCAAAGTCAAGGCAAGAGTGCTCTAGGGTCAGTAAAGCACCCTGACGTAGATGCAGACTATCAGGAGACTCCACTCCCTATGAAGAGAAGCATTGTAGTAGTGATATCTGCTAGACCAAGTTAACCCTCATTTGTTTGCATTCAGGGTGTATGTGTGTGCATGTGTGCATCTAACCATCTCTGGATCCTCTTCTTCATCCAATAACAAGTCCTTCCTACTCACTACTTCTATCCTTGCATCCCAGGCCAATCCCAGGGACCTTATGACTGCCTTAAACAGGAGACCATTCAGTTTTGTCTTTTGTTCCCATTAGGAGCTTCCCTTCCTTGTATTCTTGGGTGAACTCCAGTGGCCTAACATCTTTAAACCCTGATTCTCTTTCAGCTCATCAAGGTGGCATTGGAGAAAAGCCTGGTGACCATGGAGACCCAGAACATATGTCTTCAGCCCTCTTCCCCAGTAGGAGAAGACAGTAACAGGTGCCTTCAGGAGGAAATGCTCCACCTGAGGGCTGAAATCCACCAGCACTTAGAGGAGAAGAGAAAAGCTGAGGCGGAACTCAAGGAGCTAAAGGCTCAAATTGAGGAAGCAGGATTCTCCTCTGTGTCCCATATCAGGTATGCCCCAACTTTCCCTCAGACCATGTGCAACCACAGCCAAGAACTTGACTCTCTATACCCAAGGCATTGGTGCTGTACCAGGGTCATCTACATCACAGACTCCTTGCCTTCATGCTTCTATATGCTCTCTAGAGAAAGATAACAGTATTAGATAGCATTCAATAGTAACTTTTCTTACTAAAGCCATCTGGACTTAATTCAGTATAATAATGCTCACTATTACTGTCGAGATGAATATGAATAGACACAATCTACAGAAGGCTGTATGGGTGCAGCCTTCTGGATCAGGTCCCATAGTCACATACCCAGGAAGCTTCACTGCTGTATAGAGAATCAGAAGAGCCTATAAGGAGGTGTAAGGGTCTGAAAAATCACTGAAGGAAGACCCCAGACATCTAGCATGCAAGGGTTACCGTTGTTCAGAATGGCAAGACATTCAAGTCCCTTTTATAACAGAACTGCTTAATTGCTTCTGAGATAACAATAGACTTCTAAAACTTAGGGCACATTCCAAGGAGTCACAAAAACCATTAACCAAAGGTAATAAAGAAGATATATATACACCACAGGACCCCAAGTGTAAAAACAGGAGAGAAGTTATTGACTGGGTTTATCTAAACAAAACTTCAAGGATGGCTTAGTTACAGTCTTAAACTTTCCATGTAAGCTAGTAGCAAATGGTGAAAGTTAAGCCAGATAATTGCTCCTAGTGTATATGCACATAGGCATTCTCTGTTATAACCTCTTATTCTATTTATAAACTGAATTTATGTGCAAACTTGAAGTGATCTTTTTACCATGTGAACATACACTCTGAGAGTTATACAAGTACTGAGAACAAAGGGCACCCTTTGCTCCCCAAGACTTCAACTTAGAGCCTCACAATTTCTGCTGAGACAGGACAAAGGCTGCTTTTCCCTAGCCTCCCACTTTGTCACTGTGAGGTGTTAACTAGAGGCTGCAGCTTTCAGCCTCATATTGACTCAGTCAGGTGGATCAGCTGCAAAAGCAAAGTACCTTAACAAGTGCTTTGTGGCCTAATTTCTGGGTGGAGATAAAATAGGATATGAAGAAGGATTTCCTCAGAAGAGGATTTATACAACGCTGCCTATCTCCACTAAACTCCCTCCCAATAGCAAGAAAAGAAAAAAGAAAAAGAAAAAAAGAAAAGAAAGTTGAATTGTGGAATTACAACTTTAATAACTGTTAAGAACCAGCCTTGTCTTGGCTGGGGTCCTGAGGAAGGTGTGTTTGGAAGTGGTGAAAGAACAACTGGAAGACAATCGTGGGTATAAGTTGACAGTTTTGTAGTCTGTTCTAGATGGCTCCCTAGACAGCTCTCTGTAGTCTCTTGGTTATGTAGTTTCAAAATAGCTTTCGGCTTGAGACAGCTCTGAAACAGTTTTCTCTCAAGACAGATCTCTCTGCTTGAGACAGCTCTCTTGCTAGAAAAAATTCTAAAAACTCTCTGGGTAGCTCATGGGTTTTCTGACCAAAGTAAAAAAGTCCTTGCTAGACAAAATTCTTGGGTTTTCCAACAAAAGTCAGAAATTCTGCTAGAACAATTCTAAAAGAGCTGTGTTCACTCTCCAATCAGTTCCCTCTGAGTAGCTCTTCTTGCAGACCAAAACCCATTCTTTTATTTACATATCAATTCAGTCATTTACTCTAGGTTCCCTTTTGAATATTCCATGAATCAGCACTTATGACTTTAACCCCTTGGTTTTTAGAAGACAACAAGTACATTTTTTAATGGTAAATGAATTCAGAGATCTGCCTGCCTTTGTAAGCACAGACAATAACCTAGCTGGGTAGGATGTCTTTCTGAGATCACCATTCCCACCATGCCTGGGCCTCAACTTGCTCTGTCCCAGCTATCCTTGAACTCAGGAGTCTGTTTGTCTTTGTAAGCACAAACAATAAACTTAGCTGTGTGGGATCTTGCCCTGGGATCACCACTCTCCAAATCTCTTTATCTCCTTGTTTAATATCTTTCTGACAAGCTGACTAATAGAGCAGCTGCCTCTCTTCTTTTAGGTCCATAAAGCCCCTCATATAATTCATACTGCATCCTTATAATTTGCATAGCTGAGAAATTATATATTCTTGAATTCATGTTTTCAGTTCTTTCCCCCAGCCTTAAGAGCTGTCCTGAAGGTCACAACATTTACCATTTTGCTAAAGATATAGACCCTTGCCTCCTGGACTCATGCTGCTTCTAATTATCATGGAGTCATTAACCTTAGTGAAAGAACATCTCCTGAAAGGAGGAACATAAAGAGGATTATGTACATTATTATACAAACAAACCTCACACCTAGCAGCTGTCAACACTTGTGGAGGTCCACACCCTGCTGGCTCTGGTCCAGGGGCAAGAACTGTGTCACACAGTCCCTTCCACAGTGGCTATGCAGACCTCAGCAAGTATAATCTTTGCCATTTCATGAATACTATAAAAATGACAAGTACCTATCAATTGGCTACTTTGCCTGTAGGGAGACCTTTTTATTTAATGTTGGAAAGCACATTGATGCTGTTGAGTTTCAGTGTGATGACCCGTCTAGAAACAATAGGGCAGAGATCAACAGAGGAAGACACCAGATGTCAACCTCCAGGTCCACATGGGTATGCACACATGCACTCGCACGCCCCCTCAACACTTGTTATTAAATCTGTTATTCTAGACATCAGTTCTTTTATGTTAAATTATCCTGATAATTCTTTCTTTAAGTTTTACCTAAGTTAAAATGTAAGTTTTCCTTAGGCATTTATGTGTGTGACGTTAGCTGTGGTGTCATGCAACAGGGCATCCCTTAATTCTATATACACCATGTATAGATACCCTCGCAGGTTATTTTCATTTTTTCATAGAGTTATTAACCTGAAAGTCTAAGTTGTTTAAGGCCTCCACTCATTCTTAAACACTCAGTCCATTGTTAAGCTTTAAGCCCATTAGTTTATAGTGTGAAAACATCAGGGTTCACTCAAAAATGTAAATATGTAAAAGTAACTAAATATTCTTTTCTATACATGTTCCTTTTTGACAATATACCTACACCTTTTTTTCTCTTTTGAAAATCTGAGTCCTATTTCCTATTCATTTCTCCCATGAATCCAGACCTAATAATTTCTGCTTGAAACTCCAAGAACTAGGATTCTGAGAAATCTAGTCTAGGTGCACACCCAAATACTGATTCTTTAGGCTGTAATCCTCTCTCTCTCTCTCTCTCTCTCTCTCTCTCTCTCTCTCTCTCTCTC